AGACGTGTGCTCTTCCGATCTCCCCAAAACCCCAAAACCCCAAAACCCCATTAGGCCAAGTAGATTTTAATTTGGGATATTTTGAAAAGGGATATTAACAATATAATAATAATATTAATATAATAAAACAAGCAATATAAAAATAGAAAATTATATTTAGTAATGGAATCTAATAATCAACTAATCTTACCTAAGTCCCATTTATACTCAAACCGCGTACTAGTGCATCAATTCAGAATAGGGAATCTCTTTAATTTCTAAACGTGTTGATCTAGTTTCTGGAGAGATCATCTTGTTGAGTGGCCCCCTGAAATGTGAAAGTATCACGAAAGTCATATGGCCCTGGACAGGCTCCGTCACTCTGGTCTTTATAATAATTTTTGCCTTAGGTTAACCCCATCTTATCCCCTTCAATTCCTATTTTCTGGAGAGGGAACATTTTTTTTACTTCCGATATGTTGGTATTGTCTCACGGTCCAAGTGTATATGCGTTGAACGAGATTTTTTTAATAATTGAGCAACCAGTAATAGGATTTAACTTGCGTAAAGACTATAACGTTTCCTAATTATAAATTGTCTATGGCTTCATAGTCGATGGAGCCATTTAGTAATAATCTATGATTGTTTCAGTGTCTATCCCTCTCAATATGTAATGCCTTTTCCTTGTATTATTTCTATTAATTTAGGGCCTTGCTGCATGCATTCCGATCAGTTGAGACCTTTTTTATAATATGTGATTATCTTGGGATTCTAAATTTTATTAGTTGGACTGTTGATGCAGTTTTTGTGGTTCATGGGTATTGATCTCCCAAAAATAGGGTTTTCTACGTATAAATTCGTATCTGATAAACCTGTGACCTCTTGTCAGTGTATCTATGGCAGCATGATATATTTTAGATGCTTAATGAGTTGTACTGTACTGTATGAATTCTATGGGGTGATTAGTTTTAAAAAGCCTGGCCGTTTTATTTAGAGCTTAAGTAATTTTATCTTTAGCGAGGGTTTTAATGCCTTGGCCATATAAGACTTTACAAAAGTAGGAGTCAGGATCCTTATCTCTCGAGATAGTATCGCTTATGCATCCAAATTGTCTTAATCAGGTCATTTTACAATTAGTAGGGGTGTTTTAGCACCGATCAATGTTCACCTAGGCTTTACTTAGCGCCTTTTAGCTTATTTTATAAATAAAGCCCCAGCCTTATTATATTCTAGATTAATTCAATTTTAACTACTTCTCCTTTCATAATCAGCATCGCAGTAAAAGGGGTTTTGGGGTTTTGGGGTTTTGGGG